TAACACACACACACACACACACACACACACACACACACACACACACACACACACACACACATATATATATATATATATATATATATATATATATATATATATATATATATATATATATATATATATATATATATATATATATATATATATATATATATATATATATATATATACATTATGCATCATCATTTGAGGATAACAAGAACTAGTGAAAGATACACATTGTGCTCATCATCTTCATCCTCTCTTCTCAAAAATCAACATCTAAACATAATCATGGTTGTTGATTCAAGAAAAGTCTTATGGTGATAACACTCAAATAAAGGATTCAATTCAGATTTGGGTTGAGCAATTGTGGGTTGTTCTTGAATAAAATCGTTTGAATTTTTTCCTCCAAGATTCCTATTGGTGCGGGGGGTTTTGCATAAGTCTTTGCTTCATTGAATTCATCTGAGTGAAAGGATTAAGAAATGGTAGGTTTTCTTAATCAAGTAGAGGTAATCGGAGGATTGTGAAGATAGATTTGGGGTCAAATTACTTACAATCAAAATCAGCCGAGTGAAAGGATTTAGAAACGGTTGGTTTGCTTAATCAAGTAGCGGTAATCGGAGGTTTGTTCGAAGAATTTGGCACTTAGTTTTGCTCAAACCAAGGAAAGTGAAGAGGACTGTCACATCATCAACATTGGTTTGTTTGTATTGTGAACTATCACTTCTCTTGTAATTTGCAACTTAATATCAAGTATCTCAATTCTAGATTCTAGAATTGGGGGAAGACGTATCCTACGCAAGGACGAAAAGGGGAACTGCCTTAATAAATCGTGTGTTCTTCTTATTTTTCTTTATCTCCATACTTAATTACTACAATTTGTGAAAATTAACTTGTCAAATCTGCATGTATTGAAATTATGGTGTGCTGAGATCATTTTACAACATTGGTAACAATCCTTTTAATTGATACCTAAGAAAACTCACCATTACAATTTAGTAAAATCAAACCTAAGGCGCTTTTCTCATAAGGTGTTTGACAAATTGACTAATTCACAAATTATTCATTGTGTTTAGCTTTATCGTATTCAACTCATTGGAAGTAGTTCATATTCATTGAGGGTGTATAAGTGATTGACAAATTGAGTAAAATACATTGATTCTTACTTTGTCATTATATCCCATACGGTTACGCATATCCGATCTTTTCAATAGATGGTCGTTTATACGATTGGAAATTCCGGGAAGCTTTCGCATATATTTCTGAAAAACAATTTTAAAAAGCACAAATCATTTTAAACGATCTATTCAACCCCTCTTCCAGATCGATCACATCGTCTAAATGACTTCATATTAGCATAGGATAAAATCTAACTATTGCTTTTATAGTAATATCTAACTATTATACTCCCTCGGTTTATTTATAAAACCGAGGTAACATTATTATTATTTTTAACTATCACCTCGGTTAAGGTTAAAAATCGAAGTGATAGTTATTATTATAATTTTTTTTAATATTACATTGTCTACACATAATATTAAAATAAATTGTTTACAACAAATCTCTTCAATAGTTTTTCTGCACTTGCAATCCACCATAAAGGTGTTGATTCTTGAATGTCAGAACTTTGCATCCAAGATTGATTGTTGATACTATCATTATCATTGCCTTCACTAGCGTATACAATGTGCATGCTTTGAATGCATCCAACTTCTAATAAAGTGTTTATTTCAAAAATTAAAAAATATTTTTTTTGCACCTGCAATCCATCAGTAAAGACTTTTATGAATAAATCATAGTTGTTAAAAACCTTAAACAACAACATCAACACTATTGTTTGAGATGAGTTACAAAAGCTGAAAAAAATATTTTGTTCAAGGTAGAAGAACATTTTTTCAGTTTTGCAATCAATCCCAAAAAAATGAAGCATCCGATAGTGGGGCGGCTACAAATAAGATAGCATTGGAGTGAACTATGTTACACGAGTATTTTTATAGTAAAATCTGGTTATTTTATCCCTTGGGATATCAAAGAAACTGAAGGGTTAGATCATTTATTTTAAACTTGTTATCAAGTAAAAACATAAAGTGCAATAGTTGGGATTCGAAGCATGTCTGGAATGATATATCAACTTGGTTTTTAAAATAACCGAGGGAATAAGTTGTTTTTAAAAAAAATGGCGTGTCTTAGAATAAAACCTTAGTTTTTTCTGGATGACGAGAAAGCTTCGTCATGAAAAGTCTTATTTGTTGTAGTGTGATATGATTTTGATATACCTATTTCTCATAATTGATCTCATACATGTTCTGATATTTTTTCTTCTAATCAATGTTTGACTCAGAACTTTGTGAAAGTTCGCTGAATTTATCTAGACAGACAAAATTCAAAAATTATGAAGGGTATTCAGAAGACATGATCAAGAATTATGACAAACCAGGAAAAGTTCATAAGTTCTTAACATAATCAAGATTCATGAAGAACCAGGTTTTGATGCTTGGTGCATCTTCAACTCAGGTTCTGATACTTCATCACGCTCTGATAGCAAACTCGGATCTAAGATGATGAAGCAGGCATTTCTAGTCACACTCGGATGAATCTGCAACATGAAAGTATTCATTTTATGCTACCTGTTTATACTTCAAAATTATTTTGTAATTCTTGAGATCATGGGGAGCCTCTGAACAAGCTAAAATAAATTTTGGGAGTATAGAACTCAGGGGGAGCTAGTTATCTAACTCTGAATATGTTTTTATGTGATTAAACCTAGTATAAATTGTTCATAAAAATACATAGTTTTGTCATTATCAAAAAGGGGGAGATTATAAGAACAAGATTTGATTATGCATCTGGCCTTAAGTTTTGATGATAACAGTACATGATATCTTAGAGAAAAATATAGTACTCTAATGATTTTTGTCTAGTGTGTAGCTTTTGCTAACAAGTTTTGAGTATGATGATAAGGCGTGTGAGGTCATCAGGTTCTGAACTCAACACACTCTAACTTTGGAAGAAACCAGTTGTGTTTATAAAGACCCAGTCAAGTTCTAGAATGCTTCTATAACAATGGTTCTGATGAACGTTAGTGATAGAGTTTCTGTTCATGACTCTTTTAGAAGAGCTTTCAAAGACTTCTCAAGCTCTGATTCTGTTTGTCCAAGTTCTAAAGACTTTGAAGACAAGATTCTAGAAGAACAAGTTCTGAAGATTCTGAAGACAAAGACTCTGAAAACCAAGTGTTGAAGACTCTAAAGACAAGATTCTGGATGAACAAGTTCTAAAGGTTCTGAAAACTTAAGTTTTGAAGATTCTAGTTTTGATCCTTCTAAGCATGCTTCATCGTCAACCATCAAAAGCCTCTGAAGATTAAAAGATAAGATCAAAATTAGTTTACGTGAGAGAATAGTACAAGGTACAAATATTTCCACTACCCTCATATGATGGTGCAAGGACAATATTATGGCATTATATTGTCTACCACTCCCTCACTGATCGTTGAGGACAAAACAACTGAAATTAAATATTCGTATTCTATCCTCAAACATATTTCTTTTTGGCTATAAAAGGAATCCTTGGAGGATTGAATAAGACAATGAATTCTCTACAAAACTTACACTGAAACGGTGCTAAACTTTATTTCAAATATTCATTTGTAAAGTTTTGTAAACGCAAAGAACTTTTGTTCGTTAACTTGCAAGCAAGGAACTTTTGTTCATTAACTTGCTATTAACATTGTTGTGTTATTTCAGTGTATTCAAATTTATCTGATTTCAAGAAACAACTCTATAAATACACTCTTTGTATTTCAACTTTTAAGTTGATAGTTTCTTGGGAGACTAGGGCTTTAGTCAGGATTCTCAAGAAGACATTGACAAGTAGTCTTTGTGGTTTGCAACATTGACAGTTGGTCTTTGTTGGGTCTGTAATCGATTTGGTTATAGTGGATTAAGTCTTTGTTTGAGAAGGAAAAATGGCGAGTGGACTGGATTAACTTTGTTAACAGTGAACCAGGATAAAAATATTTGTGCCATTTATTTTTGTTCTTGTGTTCTTTGTTCTGTTTTGAGACGAATTTATTTTAAATCTTAAAACTTAATTGAAACCTCGCATTTCTTATGTTTCTTACTCCTTTATTGGGTGCATTTCTGATGAAGAAGTTTGTTGTATTATTGTATGTGAATTTTAAATTTAAGACAATTGATAGGAGTATTTTTTGAATTTTCATATAATTTGAAAAAATGACTAAGGTTTTGTTTGAGAGTTTGGAAGGGAAGAAATGGAGGACTTTGAAAAATAGGAAGGATCGAGTAAAAAGAGTAAAAAAAAATTGCTTGAGAGAGTTTTAGAGAGTTTGTTTTTCTTCCAACACCGAAAATCCTCTAATTTGAGATAACTCAAAATTTATATTTGATGAGGGTTTTAGAGGACTTATCAATTTATTCAAATATAATTTTTGTTGTTGTTGTTGAATTTCAAAAATCAAAAATACATTAATAATAAACATCATTTTATCATTCTAAACAAAGAAAAAATTCAAAAAATAATAATTTTTTTATAATTTAAAAAAAAAATCATTTTTCGATACCCCTCTTCCCATTATTTCCAAACTCTCAACCATAGCCTTTAGAGAACAATAAACATCCCTCCAAATATTTTCCTACAACCATATAGAGTCAACAATCTTCCATTTTTGTTTCAATAAAGAAAATCTATTAATAAGATAAAAAATAATTACAATACTGTTATATGAGGGAAATAACTCTACATACTTTCTTTATCAACATTTATGTTTTGCATCAACATTGTGTTTGCATATTCAAAACTGTTAATTGTGATTTCATCGTAATTTTGCTAGATCCAGAAACATGGTATCATAAAAAAATCACAAATATATAATTACAGTCATAGCTTTAATATTTCTGAGTTTTAATTACAGACAACAAATCCTATAAAAAAAAAAGTATATACACAAATTAAAATCATGAAAAACATAAAGAAAATAAAATAATTAAAAATCAGAGAGTACAACCACAGCATAGGAAGAAATAACATAGCATAGTAAGCAAAGCTAGAGACTCTATACACGTGACGAGTGCCCACAACACGTCATCAACCAACCAAAAGTTCCACCGCGACAGAGTTTCTTGAAAGTTCCGGCCACCGCTCCAATACGCCGGCCACCGGAATAATGACCAAGGCAACGACAGATCCAACTCCGGCCACCTGGAAGAACTCATCATGTGCCGTTCTAGCTAGTATTTCTATTTATTTATATGTATTCAAAAATTATTTTTGAATATACTCGTATCTTCTTTTTGTTTCTTTGTTAAGAAGTCTTATATTTTACTAGTATTAAACTTTATTCATCAATCTTTTGTTTGTTTGTTAAGTTTAAACAATTTTTCTTTTTGGATTCATCTTTTAATATTATTTTTAAACGGGTCAATTGTGATTGCGATGTCAATCTTTTCAACAAGTTTTATTATATAAAAGAACTTGTGACATTTCGATGATTAGATAATGATAATTCAGATAAACATGTATTAATGTTAGAACATTTGTTAATGACAAGTGTGAAAGTACTTATATGGATAAGTGAATTGAAAAAACTTTTTAATTTATATTGAATAATTTTCATTTCTTTAAGGGTTTATAAAGTAAATCATGTCTCTTTGAACTACATTTCAAATTTATTTTGGAGACAAAAGAACAACAATAAGAATGGACACCCTCCAAAGGGACAAGCTCCACGATGGAAACCACCTCCTCAATGAACTAAACCTAATAACTCACCAATCACTTGTTACAATTATGGAATTTTAGCCTTTTTCACCAAGGGATATAAAAGAGAAAAATAAAGAGGAATTCAGAATTTTGTGGTTCATTCTTGGTTTGACTAAGAAGGAGCTTAAGTGTTCATGAGAAATGAAGGGCAAAGTTTATCGACCTCCAGACTCTTGAAGAAATAAACCTTGAATAAAACTAGTATGAATTCAGAAGCTCATATGCCACTCTTCATCATCCATCATCTACCATGTCTTAAAGCCAGAACCAAGACCTAAGGTGGGTTTCTAAACTTCGATCATGATCACAATTTAGACTAGCATAATATGCTTGCATGTTGTAGATTGCAATTTAATCTTTGACATGAGGAATGCATGATGGAAGCATAAGGTTTGGTATGCTTAAAATTAAATATAGATTATGATTTTATGTACAATTGATGCCATGATTGTGCTTAGATCATAAATATTTGTGGGATGGATCAATGTGTGTAAAAGCTAGATTTTTTTTTCTGTAAAACAACTAATTTGGGAGTTCTGGTGCATTGATTCAAGTCAAGGGATTGCTTGGTTTGAATTAGGAGGCAGTTTCTACATTTTATGGGATATGTAGTGTTATATTTGTGAAAATCTTAAACTAGGGCACCCTCACCCGAGAATTGTATAGCCCAGGCGATAACTTAGAGACTCATCAAGGATACCGATGACGTGTAAGAAAGTTAGTCAAAGGAGAGGGAGTCCTCCACTAACTCCTATAATATAGTTGGTCAATAACTTCTCCTAATTAAGGGGGCGGTTTCCGCCACCCGGGGATACTAAGACCCTAGGCCCCAAGAGTCTCTATAAATGTTCCTTCCCTCAAAGAAGGAAGGACAAATCATTACACGCTAAAGCATAACACTTAACAAGGTCATAACGCATACTAATCATACCTCATATGCTTATACCTAAGCTCACCAATCATCTTAAGAACCTCTCACCTCACGTGAGCAGGACTCCTAAAACCACCATAAAACACTATTGTATAAGACTTCTCTCTGCCATGGAAAAACCCCAACCACCATACAGTGTAATACACCTACAAAGTCCTCTTAATTTACCTTCCCTTGTAAAGGGAACACACACACTTGTACTTTTGGACAAGTATAGTGGTGCCCACCCTAAGGCCCCGGTAAAACTACATGGGTCACACCATCTTCATCACCATCCTCTTGCTCGCTTTTATCCTCACTCCTACACCTATCCACCTTTAGCCAAAGGTCAACAGGAGAGCTTTGTCCCATACACAAGAAGGTACCAATGATAGTGGTGATGTTGGCGCCCTGGAGGAGATGCATGCGGTCATGGACGAGTTAGTTCGTCATAATCAAACACTAGAGGATGACGTCCATAACATTAGACATCGCTAGTAGCACTTCAACCCCCTAGAGTAGATAGAATTGTTGGATCTCCAACCACTCTTAGACGGGATATGAGGGCACTTGTCAACGAGGGTTTTAAACCCCCTTCCTTGGCCAAGTTTGATAGTTGCATTGATCTCTACGAGCACACTTCCTCCATCAATACACAGATGCCCATCATAGGAGCGCCCGACTCCTTAAAGTGTAAAATGGTATTTGAAACTTTAAAGGATGCCATCTTCAAATCGTAAATGGGTTTACCCCTGTGCCTCCATCAATAACTATCAAGAAATAGTAAGAAAAAAGTACATCATTTCACTTTCAGTCACCACAGAAAGATGTCCACCACCAGCAGGTTTAATATAAGCCAGAGTCCATCAGAATCACTGAGGGACTAACTTGCATACTTTAAGGAAGCCACTATCACGGTCGTCCCACAAAACCAATAAATGTTTATGGGGGGTGTGATACGGTGGCAGAACCGACTGTTATACTGGTTTTGCATTTGTGTTTGCAAATGTTGCAGTAAGCAAGAGTCGTCACCGACTTCTCTTTTATCCAACAAAGGAAAGGGTGAAAAGAACAGAAAAATACCTTTCGATATTTTTCTGAGTAAGGGGGATAGATTATGGAAAGGAAAGGTGCTAGCACCCTTTCCATCCGTAGTTATCTACGGGCTCTTAGATGCTTAGCTCATTTGAAAAATACCTTGTGCTTTTGTGTGTTTTTGAAAAGTGTTTTGAAATTCCATAGTGCGACGATTTTCTTTATGATAACTCTTGTATCAGTCCTCAAGAGTGTTGATAAAGCATTTTGAAAACGTTTTTGAAAATTGTTTTGTGTAAGTGTAAAAAGTTTGTTTTGAGCATAGCATCTAGGAACTATCTACTTTACTCGAAAGGGGCGTTCTTTTCCTCATTTCCTTTAGACAGTGCTATCCTACTATTATTGAGTAGGTAGCCATAGTCGTTTGGATGTATGAGGTACATTCGAAGGGACGTTTTATAGTCACAAAGGCAACTGGACGAGAAACCTTAGTAACTACCTTATGGTTTTAAGATCGTTGTTTATCGAGGAAACATCGAGAGGGTCATCGAGGGACTTATGATCTTTTTAAACCAGAGGGTAGCCACTAAAATCTCTCACGTTTCGAGAGTTGTAACTATTTTTCCAAAGGCAACCAAAGCGGGAGTACCCTAGAGGTGCGCGCATGTGCAAGTGTGTTATGTTCAGCTTTTTTGTCTTTTGCATTAGGTTTACTAGCGTTTTATTTTATGTTCTTGCCATACAATCCTATTAATCATACATCTAACAGTTCAAATATGTACAGGGAATAAAATACGGAAAGTAAATCCTACGCTATTACATCCCATGAGTAGTTATAATATTTAGAAAAAAAATGCGAAAGGATAAACTAACTATTACAAGATCAAATGATCGACCTATACATTATTTCTAGAATTTAAATAACAAAAGAAAAATAGAAAACAAAAATGAGAAGAGATTGCTTGGGTAGAAAATCCTAAAAAAAGCCTAAGTATTAAGAAAAATATTTTTTGGCATTTTTGTGGTTTGATTTTAATATTTAAGACCTAAGTCTAAATTAATTTTACTTTTAAGAAAAAAAATGCTAAAGTGATTAAATAATTAATTAACAAAGTTCAATCTAAAAAAGAAACTAAGACTAATATTTTTTTTATGATTTTTGATTTTAATGTTTGTAATGAAATAGAAATAAAGAAAAAAAATTAAAAAAAATAAATAAAAGAAAGGAAATGGGGGAGGCAACAAAAGTAAACAAGAGTGGTATGATCTTGAAAACAACATAGGCAAGTCAAAGGGAGCTCAGAGATTGCGCTGGATCCAGATCAGATGTGTATCTGATGGCATGGACTTGATGGTGTATATTGAGCATGCGTAGGACCTTCCAGTACTGGAGCTACAAATGACATGTTAGAAAAACATAATACATAACCTGGGGATCGAACCCAGGCTCTTTCGATTGCACACATTCTCCTTTACCATCTGAGATGTTTGTCAATCGTTAGTACAAACAAAATCATAACATTCCATTAGCAAACAAATCATATATATATATATATAATTTGAAATCCCTACATGCATGCTGCACAAGCCAAAAGGACAGGGATGCTTGGATTGAGATTCGAAGGAATCTGTTTCACATGCCTTAATAAAGGTATCTTATTACTTAATGATCACAAACGTCATGCAACAATCAAAATTAAATTACACATGAAATAAATTTAAGATCGAAGGTTTGTTACCAATGGGATGCTTTGTTTTGGACGGAGATGGCTTGCAAAGCGTGCTTCGATTTTGGTAGCTTTGGTGTATTTCTTGCAGTCTTCGTGTGGCTCGTATGGGGTAATGTGTGTGTACTTGGAGGCAAAGTTTTCGTCTGGCTGATGCGTGTATAGGCCAAAATGTTTCTTTGGGTGGTCAGTCTGCAGCTTCGATTGGCAATAAGTATCATGTGTGATGCAGTGTGTAAGAATGTTTCTGTGGAAATGTTTTTCTTGTCTCTTTTTTTTGTCCTCTTTTCCGTCCTCTTGCAATGTATCCTTAGACCTGTATTTATAGGGGTATAGAGGGGAATGAAAATGGCAAGGGACAGCCATTAACCAGGATTTGAAGGCAAACTCTGACAAATTAAAGGACTGCCATTTTTTATGGATTCCTGCCCTTTGGATTTTGGGATGAACCTGGACATGTTTCACTCCCTGACTCCTTCGAATGCCTCCACGCTTTGTTCTTTGATTGGCTCTAAATTGCTCCTTTTGATGGCTCTAGGTTTCATTATTGTGGCTTCTTCGATTGAGCCCCCATCTTCCTTAGTAGCTTGATCTGAAACTTTTCAACTAGCCCAATCAAAAACTCCTTTTTGGCCAGTCGAAGCTTCTTTTGTTACCTCCTTCGAATGTAATTATGCAGGAGTTTGGGCTTGGCAGCATGTAGGATTTTGACCAGCAAGCATCTTGAACCAAGACTCATCATAAAACAAACTTGTTTTCAATAATCATGTATCCTTCGAATGGA